AACCGCGGGAGTTCCAGGGCCCATCTCCATCACTGTCCCCGGAGAACGAGCTCCGAGACGCTGCCCTTGCAGACAGGGCCTGTCCTCCGTCTGCCATCAAGACTCGCCTTCCCCTGACTGATGGGCCCCTTTGAGCTGAGGCTGCTCACGCCTTCAGGACTCTGATTTTCTTTTCTTTTCATCCTCACCTGAGGACATTTTATCATTTTTGTTCAGATAGAGCAGGAGAGACAGGAAGAGAGAGAGAGAAACATCGACGTGAAGGGACACATCGAGTGGCTGCCACCCGCACGACCCAACCAGGGCCGGGGACAAACTGCAACCGAGGTACATGCCCTTAGCGGGAACCGAACCCGGGTCTCTCTGGACCGCAGGCCGACGCTCTAACCGCTGAGCCAAACCGGCCAGGCAGACTCTGGTTTCCTTAAGCACGTTCTCCCCAGTTCCCAGGGTCTGTAAGAAAACCTCTTTCCTATAGTTAGGAAGGTGAATACTTATTAAACAGCTGTGGTTCCATCCCTATTACATGCCCTTCCCCTAGCACTGTGGTTCTCAACCGTCCTGATGCCGCGACCCGCTAATACAGCTCCTCATGTTGTGGGGACCCCAACCATAAAATTATTTTCATTGCTACTTCATAACTGTAATTTTGCTACTATTATGAATCGCCATCGGAAATATGTGTTTTCCGATGGTCTCAGGCGACCCCCGTGAAAGGTCGTTGCACCCCCAAAGGGGTTGCGACCCACACGTTGAGAACCTCTGCAGGGCCCCAAAATTCTGCCTGCCTTCCCCTGGTCACACCCAGCCCAGGCCATACCCTGCAAAGTCTCTCTGCTCTGCCCCTAGGCGACAAACTCGAATGCTGCCCAGCCGCGCGGAGCTGGGGCGACAGCAGGCTGGGCGGTCTGTTTTCAGGTGGGAGATGGCTGTGGAGACAGTGAAGGAACGAAACCGGAGGAAGGAAAACAGCCTGGAGGTCCGCTTTGCTGGGCCAGCCCGGCTCCCAAGCAGTCGGGTGTGTGGTGCCCCTGGTGGCCGCGCTCTGGAACTGCACCCCACAGGCTGCGTCCAGGGACTGGGATTTCAGACGAGGACAGAGAACTTCCTGACAACACCTGTGACGGGACCTGTGCTCCTGGAGTCAGCCCCCAGGGAAGCACAGAGAGCGGCCACCCTGGCCCCAAGTGTCTTGGTTCTGGCCAGAACAGGACAGCCCACCAGCTGGTGCAGGAGGCTTCGGGCTGCTTTCTGGGGAGAGGCCGGCCAGCTGCCGGGCCCCCGTTTCCCAGCCTCTGGCCAGCCTTCGCCGGAGTCCTCCAACGTGAACAGCTTTTAACTGTTCTTGTTTTGGAGAGCCGACACAAAAATTTTGTTGTTGTTTGTTTTTCTTGATTGACATTAGAGAAACAGAGGAAGGGAGAGGGAGAGAGAGAGAAACATCGATGAGAGAGATCATTGACTGGCCGCCTCCTGCACGCCCCCCACTGGGGATCGGGCCCACAGCCTGGGCATGTGCCCTGACCAGGAATCAAACCTGTGACCTCTTGGTGCAGGGTCGGCGCTCAACCACTGGGCTGTACCAGCCAGGCCACAGATTATTTTAAAAAGAAGATACTTACAAAACTGTTTGGAGGAAAGGTCTCCCTCCCTCATCCACAGCCCCACAGTGTGTCTCACATTCTGGTCTAAGGCACATTCACGACCCCCATCTCCCGCAGTGGGAGCCCCGCGGGGCCGCCCATTTTCAGTCCATATCTCCTGGGCTGGGTCGTCTCAGGGGGCACACGTGTGTCGCGCTCGTCTGAGTGACCGGTGTGGCCCGCCGTGCGTGGGTGCACCACGGCCCACACAGCCCTTCTCCTAGGACGGTTCACGCTGTGAGTGGGCGCATGCCGGGGGCGGGGGGCTCACTGTGATCAGGAAAGTTCATTTTCAAAGTTGGCCGATGGTTCCAATGGCTGTCAAAAGAGGCCCTCACCCCCACCGCGGAGTGAGGTGTCTGTGAGATACTGGAAAGTGGCATCTTTTGTAGTTTTAATTTGCTTTCCAGGGGCTTTGGAAAGTAGGTCTTTTTTCTTTTCTTTTTCTTTTTTGGTATGTGCCCCTAGCGGGAACCAAACCCAGGACTCTGGTCCGCAGGCCGTTGCTCCAACTGCTGAGGGTGGGAAAGTAGGTCTTAGGAGTAGGTCACCAGGCGAAGCCAGAGTATTTCCCACAGGAAGCCTCAAAGCACGGTCTGGGCAGGGGGATGGAGACCGGCGGGGCCTGGGCCCTTCCGTCCCTCAGAGGCAGAGTCACTGGTTGTCTACCGAGGCATCCGAAAGCCACTCAGAGCTTGGCGACTGACAAATAACAGCCATTTTATCGTCTTTTCTGTTTCCATGGGGACCGGGTTCCGCAGGATGTTCTGCTGATGCTGCCATGGTCTCCGCGCCTCCTCCCCTCGTCCTCCCCCGGGGCTCCCCAGCTGAACTCAGACAGAGGCTCCGGGTACTCACAGCACGAGCAGGGCCTCCGGGTGCTGGGGGGAGCCCCCAAAGTCTAAGTTCAGGACCAATTCCGAAGAATGGACACGGCCTTATTCAATTCATAAGAGCCTTTCTTATCTTTATCCTCACCTGAGGACATTTTCCATTTTTTGTTCAAATAGAGCAGGAGGGAGAGAGAGGAAGAGAGAGAGAGAGAAACATCGACGTGAAAGGGACACATCAAGTGGCTGCCACCCACAGGACCCAACCAGGGCCGGGGACAAAATGCAACCGAGGTACATGCCCCCAGCGGAAACCGAACCCGGGTCTCTCCGGACCACAGGCCGACGCTCTAACCGCTGAGCCAAACTGGCCAGGGCAGGGTCCCTTTTTATAGGCAGTAATAGTAAAACCATAGGGTGGGTGGTCACTCAGACCCCCGGAAGAACCGTGCATCCCTGTGTTCACAGATGACATCAGGAAATGTCACACCCTCCACAGTCCTTAGCCTCCTTCTTGGTTTGACTTCGGGCCGCAGTCCCGCACTGGGGTTCCGGGTAGTTGGCCAAGCCCGAGGCGACAGAGAGTAACAGTCACGGAGAATTAGGCAGAGTCCAACATTTCCCAGAGGCCGTTGCTGCTGGAGCCGTCTTGCCTCTCTGAGGGAGCCCCCCCCCCCCCAGGCCTCTGGAGGACACAGGCGGGACTGGCACAGCATCACCCCTACCATGGTGCACAGACCGCAGTGAGGCTAGACTGGCCTGGACATGAAGGGCCGGGAAGGAGAAGGGGAACACCCGCCGCCACCGTCTAGGAAATGGTCCAGGTGTGAGAAGCTGTGCTGAAGACATCTGAAGTGTTGCGGTGTTGAATGTCTTTCTCCTTGAATTGACACGGCAGTCCATGTGTTATTTGTTTATTTTTTATCCTCACCTGAGGACATTTTTGCATTTATCTCCAGATAGAGCAGGAGGGAGACAGGGAGGAAGAGAGAGAGAGAAACATCAATGTGAGAGAGACATATCGAGTGGCTGCCACCCACATGACCCCAACCAGGGCCGAGGACAAACTGCAACCAAGGTACATGCCCTTAGCGGGGACTGAACCCGGGTCTCTCTGGTCCGCGGGCTGCAGCTCCAACCTGAGCCAAACCAGCCAGGGCGGTCCGTGTGTTATTTGCAGCGATGTGGTAGGTAGGCATCCGTCTCTGAGGTGCTGGTGGCCGCCCTTCCCGTTGATCCAGCCAGGGCCATGTTTCCATTGTGTTCCAGAAGCAAGTAGGAGGTAACCAGATGCAGAGACCCAGGTGGGAAATGTGGGTGTCACCTTCTCTGCCCTGCGCCCCATGAACTTCCCTGGATCCACTCACCTCTTAGTGCCTCCGTCTCCAGATCTGTAGCATCAGCTTGCCCCACTAGGGGGTCTTCCCCTCCCCCATGGCCTCTCTGACCTCTGGGCGTAGGACAGGAAGGTCAAAGGTCAGCACTCCAGGCCTGGGGGTGACATCATCAGCCCACCCAGAGCTCCTGGTCTTCCTCTGTCAACATCAAGGCACCAACTCTGCCACTTCCTGACTTACGACTGCGCTATCCCACTCCGAGGTGTCGGTTCCCCACACCCAGGTCCATACCCCCAAGGAAGCTGAAAACATCCATTCTCACAGAGACGGGCACACAAATGTCCACAGAGCATTTTGCACACGTCTCCATGGTGAATGCTGGCACACGAGTCGTATCTCGGCCTCTAAAAGGGCGCTTGAGCCCGCCCCCGGAACAGGAAGTCAGGGCGATGCTGGAGGAAGGCCCTGCGCACAGCCGGGGCTTGGCAGGCGGTCCCCACGCATGGCACTGACGGCTCCCCTTTCTCCTCCGGGGCCAAGGAACTGCCCAGTTCCAGGGCCCAGGAAAAGCTTGGAATTGGGAGACATCTCAAGGGGAGGGCTGTGCCCTGGCTGAGGCTCCCTCTGGTTTCCCAACCAGGGGCCCACGGCCAGAGAGGCCGCATGACCGGCGCCCCGTTTCCAGGCCCTCCTGGGGTACACTTGCTGTCCCAGACTCATCAGCAGCGCACCCAGCTCACTTCCAAAGCGCGTGCTCCCAGGAAGCTTCTGCTTGGGGAGGGCCTGGGTCAGGACGGAGACATCTCGCAGCCTACTGTCCATTTGTCTAAGCATTCGGCCACCCCCCGCATGGTCCCATTCCACCTACAGCGAGTGGAGACCGCACCCAGGGCCAGCTGGAGGGGTGGCCCGCTCCGAGGTCCGGACGAAGTTGCTGCCAGCCTGGGGTAGACAGGGTTGGGGTCCTCCAGGGTCCCGAGACCATGCCAGCCAGACCTCAGGGTGAGGAAGGGGACCAGCTTCTCCGGGAGCCAGATAGGCCCACAGCAGGGGCGGGGGCGCTCTGCCTTCCCAGAGGGTGTGTGGGTGGCCATCGGGCTTGTGTGGTCCTGACGAGGGGCAAGAAAGACTGGGGGGCAGGGGGACAGTGCACAACCTCCTGAACTCAGGGCCGCACTGCTCTCTTACAGACACCCCAGGGCTGCAGCTGAGCGCTGACCAGCGGGCCCTGGTCTACAGCACCCTGGGACTCTGCCTCGGTGCCATCATCTGCTGCTTCCTCCTGGCCATGGTCTGCTTCCTCAGGAGGAGGGGGGGCCAGTCCTCCTGCCCGTGCCCCCCAGAGCTGTGTCCGACCGCGTCCTCCAAGGGTGAGCATGCAGGGAGTTTCCACCCTCCCGATGAGCTGCCAGCCGTGCTTCCGACTGGAGCGCGTTGGGCAGACCCTCCTGGGAGAGGACTGAGGCAGATCCCTGCGCTCTCCCTCCTGTGGGCGAAATCAGGCTCAGACGTAGGGCAGGAGGAGACAGGGCCCTGAAGAAGAGCTGGTGCTGGTCTGGGCCACCAGGTCGGCAGGGCCTGGCCGGCTCCCAGGAGGAGGGTTGGGGGAGGGGGTCTTCCTGGGAGTCTGGGGCAGGGGCAGGGGCAGAGTGCCAGCCAGGTATGAAGGCCTGCTCCTGCCCTGGCAGCTGGCACGTGGGGGTGGCACTGTGGGAACAGGGCAGAAAGCGTTTCCTTCTCCCACGTCCAGAGGGCTGATCCCTGGAAGCAGGTCGGAGGGGGAGGGGCTGGGGCCAATGCCAACGCTCACACTCTCTTCCCTTCCCACACAGATCACAAGATGGAAGCTGGGAGCTCCGCAGCCCTGGGGCCCCAGGAGCAGGTGGAGACCTGCAGCTTCTGCTTCCCAAAGTGCAGGGTGCCCACCCAGGAGAGTGCCGGTGCACCCAGGTCCCCTTGCCCCATGTGTGCTGGGAGGTGTGGGCGCCTGGGCCCCACCATGGCCGGACAGTCCTGCACTGGGTCCCCAGAGGGCAGCCTCCAGGCCATGTGCTCACCCACCCAGGAGGGGGGCCCAGATGCATAAAGTGGAGGAGGAGGGAGGGAGGGAGATGGTGAAGGAGACATGGGGAAGGGAGAGCTGGCAGAGAGGGAGGGGCCCACTCAGGGCTCCACTGTCGGTCACCACTGTCCAAACACATCTGCAGTGACTGGTCTGTGCTGGCTGGACTGTCCCCCAGAGCCCTTCCGTAGAAATAAAACCTTATTTTTGTCCTGTCTTCCCCTGTGATGATTCTGAATGGTCCCACCTCTCCAGCTGCCTCCCTCGGCCCAAGACTCCACCACAGGCGGGGCAGCCCCTGCTGCCCAGGGACCAGCATGCTGACGGGCGCCCGCTGCAGGAGCGCTGCTGGGCCTGCGAGGCTGGGAGTGTGGTGCACCTGGGCCTCCCGAGAGGGAAGCTGGAGAATGGCCCAGAGTGTGTGCCAGTGGCCACACCGGAGACAGGCTGGTGCACTTACGTCTGCTTTCCAAAACAGTCCCCGCCGTGCCTCCTCCGGAACGGCGTGAGGCACAGTGTGCATTTGTGTGTATGTGCGCACACACGTGTGTACATGTGTGCCCATGTGTGCTGAGGACATGTGTGCACGTGTGTGTGCTGGGGCATGTGTGTTGATGGCATGTGTGTGCGTGCGTGTATGCACATGTGTGCTGAGGGCATGTGTATGCGTGTACATGTGCGTGCATATGTGTGCTGGGGCATGTTGTGTGGCCAGGTGTGTGCGCATGTGGAGGGGGGCAGAGTGTGGGGTGGGCAGGCAGGCTGAGCTCAGCAGTCTCTCGTCTGTGCCCTCCTTGGGCCATATCTAGCCACCAACCCGCACTATTAATTGCTTAATATTTTTCTTTCCCTTCACTGAGTTTTTCTTTTTCATTATTTAATATTTTTGTATCCTCACCCGCGGATATTCTTTGCATTTATCTTCAGATAGAGCAGGAGGGAGAGAGGGGGGAAGAGAGAGACAGAAACACCGATAAGAGAACACATTGAGCCCTGGCCGGTTTGGCTCAGCAGTTAGAGCGTCAGCCTGCCGTCCAGAGAGAGGCCTGGGTTTGGTTCCTGCTAAGGGCATGTACCTCGGTTGCAGTTTGTCCCCGGCCCTGGTTGGGTCATGTGAGAGGCAGCCATTCGATGTGTCTCTTTCATGTCGATGTTTCTTTCTCTCTCTCTCTCTCTCCTCCCTCTCTCTCCCTGTCACTCTATCTGAACAAAAAATGGAAAAATGTCCTCAGGTGAGGATAAAAAAAAAGAGAGAGAGAGAAACATTGATTGGCTGCCTCCTGCATGCCCCCCACTGGGGATCAGGCCCACAACCTGGGCATGTGCCCTGACCGGGAATCGAACTGGCGACCTCTTGGTGCATGGGTTGACGCTCAACCACTGAGCAACACTGGCCAGGCCATCTTATTTCTTTTTCTTTTCATTTTTTTATCCTTACCCGAGGACATTTTTTTTTTTTTCCATTAATCTTCAGATAGAGAGGGAGGGAGAGAGGGAGGAAGAGAGAGAGAAACATTGACATGAAAGAGACACATCAAGTGTCTGCCACCCACACAACCCCAACTGGGGCCGGGGACAAACTGTAACCGAGGTGCGTGCCTTTGTGGGAACTGAACCCGGGACTCTCTGGTCTGTGGGCCGACGCTCTAACCGCTGAGTCAAACGGGCCAGGGCTTTTTATAAGGGCGCCAGTCATATTAGAGTGTGCCTACCCTAATGCCATCACCTCTGTGAAGATTCTGTTCCCAAATAAGACCACCTTCTGAGGTTCTGGAGTTAGGACTTCACCCTGTGAACTGGGGGACACAGGCCCTCCCGGAGTCCCCCTCTGCTTCCTGTCTGTCTAACGATGCCTGGGCAAGCGAGACCTGTCCGACGTGGTGACCCATCATCCCAACAGGCCAATGGGGACACGCTGACCACAGTGTCGCCCACGACACCTAGAGCAAGAAGCTTGTGGTATTACCAGAGCGGCGCCATCGCCCGGTGACAGAACTGGATGCCGGCCTCACGACTGCACCGGTGGCGCCGCCCCGGAGCCGCTGCCACTGGCGTGAAGCTCGTCTGGAAGGCGTGCGGCCCTGTTCTTCCGCAGGCTCCGAGTTCTGCTCGCTGGAGCCCGGGGCCGAGGGGCCGTTTCTGGTACCACCACCGCTGACTGCCCAGTTCTGCTTCCCGTCGGACACAAGTGACCGGGTTCTGTCAGCTTTCCAATCGCCCTTTCACGTTGACACACCTGTGTTTTTAAGACAGGGACCCATCCCTTGCGAGACAAACTGTCTGAAAGTGTAAATACGGTCCACTTTAGCCACGCTCTGGGTCTGTTGGTTCTCCCCCCACAATCTATTCCGATTCCCGCCACTCGTCAGAGCCTGGGAGGCCGAGCGCCCCCACCTCGCACCTGGGTGGCGGCACCAGCCCCCAGCGGCCTCCCTGTCGCCATCCTGTCCCCCTGCCCAGGGCTCGGCAAGCTTTTCTGAAAGTCCCGGTGGTGTCTCTTGGGCTTTGTGGTCCCATGGTCCTGGCTGCAGTGACCGTGCACTCAGTCGAGTCAGCGTGGAGGGGCCGGTGCAGCCCGGGATGAGAAGCCAACAAGCAGGACCACGGGGTCTGATGAAACTGCCCAGCGAACAGTTTCGGGTCTGGACTGTGGGCCACAGCTTGTTGAACTGGCCCTTCTTCGTGGCAACACGGATCTTTTTTAAAAAAAGATTTTCTACTGATTTTTAGAGCGAGAGGAAGGGAAAGGGAAAGAGAGGGAGAAACATCAAAGTGGGGGCGAAGCATGTCAGCTGCCTTCCACAGGCCCCCGAACGGGAACGGAGCCAGCAGCCCCTCCACACACGGACGACGCCCAACCAACTGAGCCACACTGGCCAGAGCAACACGGATTTTTTATGTTTCTTTTCTTCTCTCTCTCTCTCTCTTTTTTCTTTTTGCATTTATCTTCAAATAGAGGGGGAGAGAGAGAGGGAGGAAGAGAGAGAGAGAAACTTCGATGTGAGAGAGACACATCAATTGGTTGCTTCCCGCACAACCCTGACCAGGGTCTGGGACAAACTATAATCAAGGTACGTGCCCTTGATCGAACCCACAACTCTTTGATACAGGGGCCAATGCTCTAATCATTGAGCCAAACTGGCCAGGGCTATGCCTCTACATTTTTTTTTTTTTATCCTCACCCGAGGCTATTTTTCCATTTTTTGTACAGATAGAGTGGGAGGGAGAGAGAGGAAGGGAGAGAGAGAGAGAAACATCGACGTGAAGGGACACATCGAGTGGCTGCCACCCGCACGACCCAACCAGGGCCGGGGACAAACTGCAACCGAGGTACGTGCCCTTAGCGGGAACCGAACCCGGGTCTCTCTGTACCGCAGGCCGATGCTCTAACCGCTGAGCCAAACCGGCCAGGGCTGCCTCTACATTTTTAACAGTTGCTTACAACAGGCATCTTTGACCACAGTCAATTCTCAAATAACGACACAGCGTGTTCACCTGGAGTGGACAGGCCTCACAGCAGTACCTCCCCACCTGCCTGCTGTCCATCAGCATCCCCTATGGACATCCCACCACATCACCCAGAATACAGCCATGTGTGCCTCGGAGTTCAATACCTCTTAGAGGGGTTACAAATAAGAAAACAATGTCCTTGGCCAGTGTGGCTCAGTGGTTGAGCACCAACCCTGCACCAAGAGGTCGCCAGTTCAATTCCCGGTCAGGGCACATGCCCAGGTTGTGGGCTCAACCCCCAGTGGGGGGCATGCAGGAGGTGGCCAATTGATGTTCCCTCTCATTGATGTTTCTATCTCTCTCTCCCTCTCCTTTCCTCTCTCTCTAAAATCAATAAAGAGCCCTGGCCAGTTTGGCTCAGTGGTTAGAGTGTCGGCCTGCGGTCCAGAGAGACCCGGGTTCGGTTCCCGCTAAGGGCATGTACCTCGGTTGCAGTTTGTCCCCGGCCCTGGTTGGTCGTGCAGGTGGCAGCCACTCGATGTGTCCCTTTCACATCGATGTTTCCCTCTCTCTCTCTCCCTCTCTCTCCCTCCCACTCTGTCTGTACAAAAAAATGGAAAAATGTCCTCGGATGAGGATAAAAAAAACAAAACAAAAAATAAAATCAATAAAGAAAAAAAATTTTTTTTTAGATCAAAAACAATGCCCTTTATATTACCTTCATTTCTGGAAATCCTCCTTTTTTGTATGTGTGGATTCAAGTCTCTGTCTGGTTTCATATTCCTTCCACCTGAAGGACGTTTTAAAAACATTTCTTACAGTGCAAATCTGCAGGAAATGAATGATGAATTCGTGCTAGTTTGAAGAACCTTTCTTTCCCTTTTGTTTTGAAAAATAATTTTGGAGGGTCTAGACTTTGAAGTTGCCAGTTTTTCCTCTCAATGTTTTAGAGCTGTATTTCATTATCTCTGGCTTGCATAGTTTCGGACACGGCATCTGCTGGCATTCCTATATGTGTTCCTGTAATCCAGGGGTGGGGAATCTTTTTCTGCCAGGGGCCATTTGGATACTTATAACATCATTCGCTGGCCATACAAAATTATCAACTTAAAACATATCCTGTGATATTTGAGCAAACATTTAATGAACTCACCCCTAATCGCATGGCTGGAACTGCTTCTCTGTGCTGAGGCTGTGATGTTCAGGTGGTGTTGATGTTGCTGTTCACAACTGCTTTCCCAGGTTTGCGTCAGTCAGTCTGGAGTTGGCTCTTGCAATGTAAGTTCTGAAGGGAACTGCTTGCAGTAGTAAATTGTTCCGAACACAGGTGCATATTTCAATGCCTGTCTCCTCAAAGTGGAAGTTCGTCATTGCTTATGGAACATTTGTAGAACTCAAGGCAGTGGGAGGCTGTTGTACCTGCCTTTCAGCTCAGCATCGCTTTGCAGCTGAATGGTTTCATGTTGTAGGTTATCAGGCTCATCAGCTGGTTCCACATCGAATGTGCAGCAAAGATGTTAAGTTCTATTTGTTTACTTTTCATGTCCCTGAATCTTTCATTAAATGCCTCAGTTAGTTTCACACATTCACCAGCATATTCAAGTATCTTAGGTTTTCTCCTTCCAGAGTGGGAAAATGCACCATGTTATTCCTTTCGAGCTGCACGTCCCACAGCCTTAATTCAGCTTCAGATGATTTCACGTTCGAAAGCCAGGAGCTGAGAAGCTGGTCAGGGCTCTGCAGCTTGATGTCAAGCTCTGG